ATTCCCTGTTTATAACATTGTTTACAACGCACTACTCCCTTCGCAACCACATGCGTACTGATGCTGCAAGTCGTGCAACAGATGGAAAACAAAATTCAACCTAAAAAATTGTTTCCAAAACATGACAATAGGCTTCTACTTGTACGCCGGTAAATGCACATTTGTGCTGCGATCGCCGCAGTGTCTGTAAACGACCGTTTCGTTTTAGACGGCTGTCGCCGTCATGCCACATAGTGAACTTCGCTTTGACGACTATAGACGCAAGTGTCCGTCAACGTGTTAAAAACATTGCTTGTTTTTTCTATAGTTTTATTTAATTTTTTAGCTAGCCAAGAAAACATGCAAATAACGCACTGCTAAGTGTATAAAAGAATTGAAAACTTATAATAAGCGTTGAAAGTTAGTATTATATATTTGTGAATCACCAGCCACGACAAAATAATAAATAAAAATGCAAAATAACCCAAAGCTAAGCGGGAGTATATATGCATATGGTATATATGTATTTTCAATATAAAATGCAGTGAAAAGATTTAAAACTAACTTTGCTTCCGCCGTTTTCCGATAGGTGGCTTTACCGGCAGAGGTTGGTTGAAATACATAGATGATAATGCCTTTAAAGTAAGTGTGGACAGTGCCCAACAAATTGTCATCGCCGTTTCAGTGACAGTTGTTTTTGTTTTCGTATTATTCACGCTCGAAAATGTCTGTTTATGTGCCTAATTCTCGCCATTTGCGGGAAGTTTTACTTTTCTGTTACAATTCGAAAAAAAATGCAGCTGAAGCGCATCGAATGCTCTCAGAAGCTTACAGTGATGCTGCTCTGAGTGAAAGAACATGTCGGGAGTGGTTTCAACGTTTTAAAAATGGTGATTTTGATGTCGAAGACAAACATGGTGGTGGAAGAGAAAAAACCTTAAAAAGATTTACTACGAGCTCTTAAAACCATCACAGGAGATCGCTACCGAACGCAACTGATGCGCCTTACTCGCGCGCTAAAAGAAAAGCGGCCACAATATCAAGAGCGACATGACAAAGTCATCCTCCAACATTCTTTTCTTGTATCTTGTCATTACATGTGAACCACTACGCGAGTTTTCTCTAACGAACGGCTGATAGAGTTTTAAGAGAAGCCTTTATTTTATGTCCGAAATGCAGTCAAAGGCTTGACAAATCCGACCGAGGGGCGATAGCAATTAGAAGGTTTAATTTAAATTTTTAATTTAGATAATCTATTTTTAATTTAAAAATGTTGGTCAGACTAGGTCTCGAGCCTGGGCTTCCGAATGACAGTGCGCAGTGCTAATCACTCGGATATCGCGGCCGGTGTAAATATAAATGGGAAATACTCCATAATGTGCCATAAGAAGGTCTCAGGCCTTGCTATATTTTCACTTAGAATATCTAATATATAAAATTCTCGGATCACAGTGTCACTTCATAAAACGAAAGAAGGCATCAGTCCTTGACTTAAGCAGAGGCTTCGTTCGAAGGCATATACGTGACTCGTTTCCTTATGACAATTGTTAATTCAATGAATTATGCAGATTGTATCTGAATGAGAAAAAAAAACTCTCAGAGCAGGACATGGGTTAATTTTTAGTGCATATGCGATCTCAATCAACCTTTATGTGTCGAAGTAATTTAAAGATTTCCTGAATTGATAACGGCTGGGCCGAAAATTATTCAACTTTATTCAGAAAATCCCTGTAACCGATTCAAGCGATATTATCTTAGTTACGATTCGATTCACTTGGCATATAATGCATTTGGCAGCTTATCGTGTATCCTTGTTGTTTGTTTTTGCTTGCCTACTACCATATCGCTTTTTGCTGATCGAGTACATTCAAATAACTCACATTCAGATTTGAACTATCTACCTATGTAATTCAGGCGAGGCGAAATCCCCTGAGACTGCTAGTCTAATATATAATACTCTCGTCGGTGTTAGACACGATACTTCTCTGAATCGGCTTTACTGATTTTATGGAAATTTGAGGTGCATATTTAGTAGGTCTGAGAATAACATACCATCTATTTTTCTCATCTGGAAGAGGACCAGGGACATACGTCTTTGGAAAAATATTATTTATTGTTCAATTTACTTGAAATTTGATACATAGGTGTCTTTTTGCTTTGATTAACAGGAAGACTACAATTTCAAAAACAATTTATTTATGGTTGGACTCACCTAAAGTTCGTTACATTGATAGCTTTTTCTTAAGTTATCTTAAACTAAACTATAAAAAAAAACTTATTAATAGGTCGAATCACTTGGAATTCTTTACATAGGTGACTTTTTGACTTGACCTGGAAAAATGTGGACTATTCCTTTCTCCAGGAAGTGGACCAATGGCAATGGTAAAATCAAAAATTTTGTACTGCACAAGTGTTGAGTAAATAATGTCATGGTAATAAGATATGGCAGGGTGCAGCTCTATATACACGTATATATAATTGGCGTTTTGTAACCGCTAAAGCAATTTTCGGCGAAGCTCCTCCTCCAAATTGTGGGTTCGTCTTCATGTTTCTCCAACAAATAAAAGGACCTACAGTTTACACCGCCTCCGAAAGGCTGATGGTTTTTATGAGGAGCTTTTATTTCATGTCAGAAATACATTCGGGTTAAAAATCTTCGATTCTTTCCTAGACATTCTCCTCTAAGCTTACGCATCTAGTTACATCCATTGTACTGTATCAGCTGACTATATTTAAAAATTTTTGCTTTGTTCAACCTAGAGTGACTATGGGTGACCATAAAGTGTTTAAAACGTGCCATTTAAAACATGATACTATTTAATTATATTCTTCTTCTTAGTTGGCGCTGGCAACGCTTGCGCGACTATAGCCGAATTTATAACAATGCGCCATTAATTATTTTTTCTCGCTGTCTGTCGCCAATCGGAGATACCTGATCCTTCCAAGGGAGTGTAGGTCTTCCTCTTTTTCTGCTTTCAGCAGCGGGTACTACTGCGAATATTATTACGTCATGACGTAGCCGCTGTCTCCTCATTCGCTGAACCATGTCAATATCATCGTTTAACTCTTTCAGCTTATCGTTCCATCGTCTGCGGTATACGCCGTTGCCAATACGCAAACAACCATTAATCGTTCGCAAAACTTTTCTCTCGAACACTCCGTGAGTAGACTCATCAAATGTTGACATCGTCCACGCTTCTGCGCAATATTATTTAATTATACTATGAATATATCCCATTGCTTATATGGCTCTAGCATTATTTTCAAACATTGTTATTATGGCAAATAAAACTTTCTACAAGAGTGTAGATTTGACAGTATATGCCTATGATAATGTCATCATCAGCAACGAAACGAAGCGAATGAGTCTGGAAATAAATATGGGTAAGAAGAAAGGAGACATATTTCTCGTCGTCATAAAATGAAAGGTCAGATCACTCGCATATCACGACACTGTCGGCAAGCAAGTCGTATATTGAAAAGTCGTTAATAATCTATTAATAATATATGTCTTCAAGTACAATTTATGGTAAATAGATTTTGATTTTGTTTTTATTATAATATAATATTGTAAATACCACGGGAAACACACATTTTTCGAATATGTCGGTCTCAGGTGAGATTTCCGGAGAAAAGTGTTATCCAAGTCAATTTCGACAATGAGATAGCTATGTACTAAATTTAATGAAAATCGAACTATTAAAAAATATATTGGATTTTTTCGAACATTCTAATCGTCTGTCTATGTCACACGTAGAACTCACCATCCAAATTACAAGGCTCTACTATCAGTTGATTGGGTTGCGGATCGATCTGAAAGACATTTATTTATGTAGATAACAATTTGACAATTAGAGCGTGCTTGAAAATGGTCCTAAACAATTGTTATTAAAATTCGATTGTGAGTATGTAGCTCCGAACTATACTGTAAACAATCGATCAAAGCGTTCTTGGATACAATACAGACAATTGTAAACAAATAAAAAACAACGGCCAAATCTGTTTCAGATCTGGAAAACTAAATTTAAATCAACTATCATATACGAATCTTTGAAAGAACAATTCAGATCAGATCCTGCAGAATCAGTCTAATGGGGGCATTGAATGATTTTAAAAGTTACCCAGTGTGTCACACATTTATGCTTCAAAAGATAATGAATAGAAAATGAGCGTATATAATATTTATTTTTAGAATGGAAATGCTTTCAACCAACATAAATTGGAATTAGCACAGTTTTTAGCAGAGTACGCACATGATCGATAGGTCTTGTCTGAAATGCATCTGACAGATACATGCAAATTTTAATATACATACCTGGGCTCATATACTATCTTACAAGATATCCTAAAAGTACGGTGGCACTGGGCTACTTCTAACGGCGCTATAAACACTACGTCTTATAGTTATATGCCGCCATTTATCTGCAATCTAATTTTATTCTGTAGTTTTGAATAAATGTGGCAAGGAGATTTTTAACGCCATTTATTGCTCTCTAAGATTTAATTTCCCAGAGAATCCATTTTAGGTATTTTTTGATAGCCCATAAATGGATTTATAGCCGGAGGAGGCTACATGGCAACGCAACCCAACTTTACGATAATATTTTAACAAACGTTATAATTAAACTGTATTTCTTATAGATTTAATAATAGAAAACTTCCATCACCTAGGACTTTTGCTGATTCATTTTCGGACAAATCACCAGTTTTAATAGAAATTTGAGAGCAAATATAAAAAAGTTATTAGTAGTCACATGTACAACGGTGATAATAATATTGATGAGTTTAAGCAGATAAAAAAGTGCATTGGAACAAGCAAAGACGATAATATCAAGACATATATAGAAAAGCTGAAAATGAAATTTACTGAAATATATTAATTCTGTGAGGGATATCAAACAAGGTGTCCCACCTCAATGAAATTACCGGAATTAACCAAAAGGCGTCTTGAAACTCAGGTGACGATTAAACCAATAACCCTGAATCTAGTAAACGTGACTAAGCAATTGGATCCAAAGAAATCTTCAGGCTTTCACCTTATTATATCAAAAATGCTAAAAGAGCTGCATGAACTCTTGAAGGCCATTCTAAAACTAGGTTAGTTTCCTATTGCCTGGAGAAAGTCTCAGATATTAATTATAGATAAACCTGGTATAAATTTACCAAACACGTCTTCTTACATACCAATAAGCTTACATTCCTGTCATTCCACACTATTTAAAAGAATTCTGTTACCTAAGAATTATTTTTTCTCCACCATTATGCTGACGTGAAAAACATAGTAGTGTAGCACAAGTTTAAGGAACATTGCTATGCAATATTTCTTGTCGTAGCACAAGCGTTTGGCAAGGTTTAGAATAAAGGTCTATTACACAAAATTAATGGTGGTGACATGACACAGCCATGTAACAAAAGTGAAAACACGATACAATTACATTTCGCCCACAAAAATGTGGTTAACGAATTAACGCAAATATCTAGGCTTACACTTAGATAGAAGGCTCATCTGGAATATGTTTCTTTTGCGAAAATACTGCATATGAAACTAAAAGTAGCGAGCTAAAATTAGCTTTTACATAAGAAAAAACTAGAATACAAAGTACTCATTTGCAGAGCAACTATCAAGTCAATTTATATGTATGGTATACAACTGTTAGGTATTACCTCGCACCTAATATTGAGAAAATAGAAATTCCAGTCCAAAATTCTAAAGGAAGTGATGGGCGCACAGTTGTATGTGGTACGTAACGTAAATATACATATACACCTCGTTATCCTACCGGTTCAACCTGAAGTTGAGAGTAACTTACAAATCTGAAAAATCATCTCAACCCTTTTGCTAACGCTTAGTCTTCGTGAAACTCTTTCAGAAATTCCCGGCTGCTACAAAAGGTTCCTACGTCTCGTATTAATTCGACCGCCATTTGTTAAAGTTTATTAAAGCAAAGTCAGTAATAAATAAATTACGTTTAAGAAAGGTACCGATTTGTTTTGGTAGTCATACTTAAATAGTTCGAAATAAACAGTTCGCATAGCTACTGTAGGTAATCTACTATAACTTGTGATGTGTTGCATTATAAGGCATCAGAAGTTAAGACGTATTATTAATACTGTAGTGCTAAGTATTCACCGGGCATGTAGGATGTGGGCGCATGGCAATGCTTCTATAGAATCTGGCTCTAGTCCAAAAGTTTCACCGCATGCACCACAAAATAGTCCGAGCGCTGCATCAGTTTGGCCGGCCAAACGCAATTGGGTTTTGTACTGCTCCTCATCTCCTAGAGCACGATATATTAGAGCCAGGCGACTACGTATTCTTCGAACCAAAAGCTAAATATAAAAGCATTATCAAGGAAAACATATTGAAAAGAAGGAAAATACAGGTTTTAAATAATTTGCCTACTTTTAAAAATGTTTCTCTTTCAATTAGGGAAAGTACCTTGGAGCCAATCGAGCTTGCCACCTCCAAAAGACGCGTATTGAATTCAAGAGGCCGACAATTGCAAATCTTTTGCTGTAACCGAAGAGCTTCCAAGCAGCGCGCCGCCCCATCCATTGCTTCCATTTGTGCCATCCGATCCCCAACTGCGGCAGATGTTCCCATAGCTTCCTCGTATTGTCGAAAAGCACGCTTAAATGTATAAGTATACAAATAGAATATATAATAGATAGGATCATGCTCAGTATTCACTCACATCCATATCGACCTTTTTGCGATAAATATCGCCCATAACTCGCAAGGTACGAGTGTATGTCGCTTGATCTCCAGAAATTAATGCAAGTCGTGTAGCTTCCTAAACATAAAACAATTTGTTTTTAATTCTGAACGAGAGAAGAATTCATAAACATTTTCTAATAAAAATAAATACTTTTATGTACATATATAACACTCACCATGCAGTAATCGTGGGCATCCCCTAGATCTCCCTGCTTTCGTAGACTGGCCGCCATGCGTAACAGCGCAGCCCGATGATGTGACGAGTTAAGATCGCCAAGCAGCAATGACCGAGATAAATCATAGGCTTTGGAAGCATACATTGCACTCTTATCATTATCTTGCAAGCGACCGAACAACTCAGACAGCGTGACATATACCTGCAACTCAAGCGATGGATCACCAATAGAAGTCGCTATTTTGTGTGCACCTTGTAGACCTTCAAGTGCGCGCGAAAACCCACCCATTTCTAAGTAAACTCGGGCCACTGTCAAATGCACTATCCCACCAGTCCGACATTGGGTACCACAATCATTATACAGCGAATGTCTTGCGTAGCTGAGTGCTCGTTCCAGACCACCTAATCGTTCGTGAGCTCTCGCTAAATTCAAATAAGTTTCCGTCCTCATTATAGGCGAGTCTAATTCCTCGGATATTCCCAATTGCCGATGTCCGAACTCTATTGCCTCGCGATATTTACCCCAGTCCATATGTGCTTGGTAGAGATAACCAAGCAATTGAAAACAATCTTCACGACGATTTGTTGCTTTCAAAGCACTCCGCCAAATACGAACTGCAGCATTTTGATTATGCTGTTCATATAAACGAAGGCCTCGTTGAATCTGATAACAATTAAAATTTAAAGAAATTATTTTTAAAATTTTCCCTTAATGTGGATTCCTCATGAGTAACCAAATCAACTGAAAATGCTTTTATTGATTCGCTACACACTTGTAAATCGGTTTTAAAATTAAAAAAAAATGTAGTTCTACGTTTCAATAAATTGCAGTAAATTAAAAAAAATTTAAATCAAAAAAAGTTTATCCAACCTTTATAAGTTGAGTTATAACAATATTGAACTAAAAAATTAGTTCAACAACAACAAAAAATTCCCTTGAGCACAAATGTGGCTCAATACGAAGACGCTATGAAATAAAGTTCTGTAATTGGAACACAACAAAGCGAATCGAACGTATAATTGCTAAAATTGAATGTTGTTCACTTTAAAATATTTCGAATCTAACAGAATTTTTTTTTTATTTTTTCGAATGATTTGAGGGTGGAAATTTTGTGTAAGCCAACAACCAAGATCCTCTGCATGGACGGGTCCTTGAAATGGTGCCGGGGCTCAGCTGAATCACAATACAGATGACCACAAATTGATGACAACTAAAAACCCGCTGGAAGCAGTGGAAGTCAAGAAGGATCTTGGTCCGATTCTGACTGACCTGAAAATAACGGAAGGTCCTCCGATAAATAGATACGAATTCTGAAGTTCCTCCAGATAAATCTCCAGCACAATACTGTGGCCTCGAGCGAAATTCTTCTTACGCAAGATTAAGAGGCGTTCGACGTATCATTGGTCCAGTGGCTATGTCTTGCTCTTGAAGACACTGACAGAGCACTACATGTGCACAGGATGAATCATTATCGTAGGCGGGTCGCAAATGCACACCACGCCATATGGGCCAGTGGCGACGTAAATGACAAGAGTGAGCCTCTTTTTCGTCATCTACAACAGAGTAATCTTAAGATTATAAATAGAGGTACCGAACCTACGTATATTGGAGCAACGTAAAATAATGTTCTATTAAAAACACTGGTATCCGATAAGACAATTCTAGTTGAAGATAAGAAGGTGCTTAAGGTGCCAAATCTTAGCGCTCATTGGTAAATATGATTGTCTACTGCGTCCAATGATCCTGAAGTGGGATCTCCCAAAGAGAAAACCACCAGAGGAGAGTAGATAGAAAGCGGACAACAGATATTGAACCCAGACAAGGTCAGTTTGGTAGTACAGACGTTCTCGGATAACAAATCACCCGGATTAGATGGGTTCTTTCCGGCTATGCTTCGAAAAGCCGCTGACAGGAGAGTAAAATTCTTAAACACACTCTTCAAAACTTGCATTAGGGAAAGTTATATCCCGGCCTCATGTCGAACGGTTAGTCCTACCCTAAGAAAGTAAAACAGGGCACCTGTACCCTAAGGACTATCGCCTAAACAACTTTACTTCGATCCAATGTATGTATCTTCGGTACAACGGTCGAAAATATTCAGCCTCGACGACGAAACATCCCCAAAGGGGTTGAGGCTGATCGACTTCGACGGGCCGGCATTATGGTTGTCTGTAGCACTAGATTCCAGCACAAGAAAATTTACCAAGCAACTTGGCTCTCCCCTGATCGAAACACACAAAACCAAATTGATCAGAGCCAGAGAAAAATCTGGTACGATGAGGAATGTCGAGCTGCAGTGGAGAGAATACAGACTACCTACCTCGCAACTCTGAGATCGACCACAACAGGTGCGGAGTGGGATAGATATCGAGAGCTAAAGAGAGAAGCAAGACGCATTAGCAGACAATAAAAAAAAAGTGGCCGAAATGCGTGAGTATAAAGAGCTTGAGAAGATGGCCGACAAAAGTAATGCTCGGAAATTATATAAGACAATACGGCGACTTACTCAAGGTTTCAAGACCGGAACAAAATCTTGTAGAACCCAGAGAGGTGATCCAGTGACGGATGCCCAGAGTCTACTGAATTTATGTAGAGAACACTTCTCCAGCCTGCTGAATGACGGCGGGGAAGAGGTGACAAGGTGCATGCATCAGTTTGTTTGAAAAATATGATCCGATGAAAGCAAGCCCGGCAGTTGGAACCTAAGTGTACTCTGCCCAATCTACAATGATGGCGCCAACAGTTTGCGCCAACTACCGTGGGATAGGCCTCCTTAACGTCGCGTGCTATCTAGCGTTTTCTGTGAAAGACTCAACAAACGGATTGAACCTTATCAGCGTGGCTTTAGACCTGGTTAGTTCGTTCTGCTTTCTCCAGGCTTGATAAAAAAACGATGTGAATAGGTCTGGTAGTGAGCGAGGACAAGAAGAAACATCTCCTTTCATCAAACAAACAGTCAGCGCATACGCAACTTGGCTTCCACGTCACTGTTGACAGTCATAACTTTGAAGTCGTAGACAATTTCGTCTATCTAGGAACCAGCATCAGCACCAATAATAATATCACCCTCGAACTCAGGCGCGCAATCACTCTTGCCAACAGGTGCTGCTTTGGACTGAGTAGACAATTGAAAACCAAGCTCTACAAGTCGCGAATCATACCCATCCTACTATATGGCGCAGAGGCGTGGGCGATGTCAACAGCTGAAAAGTCGGCTACAGAAGTCTTCGAGAGAAAAGTTTTGCGCACGATTTATGGTCTTTTGCGTATTGACAACGGCGAATACCGCAAACGATGGAACGATGAGCTGTACGAGTTAGATGACATTTACATAGTTCAGCAAACGAAGAGATTGCGGCTACGCTTGCCAGGTCAGGTTGTCCAGATGGATGAAAGCATTCCAGTTTTGAAAGTATTCGAAGCATTATCCGCCGGTTGAACCAGAACAAGAGGAACACCTCCATTCCGATGGAAGGATTAGGTAGATAGGTAGATAGTAACCTCACTTGGTATTTCCAACTGTCGCCAAACAGCGCAAAAAAGAGATAAATAGCGCACTATTATTAATTCGGCTATAATCGCGTAAGCGGTGCCAACGCCAATAAAGAAGAAGAAGGAAAAATTTATGGTAAACAATGTTAAAAGATTCTTAGCGAGAATTATAACTCTTATCAAATAAACACTATATACTCTTACTTGCAGTTAAATTTTTGAAAACCCAAAAGCTACGTACATTATTTTTCAGTAAGCAACATAGATCTGCAATGAATATAACTATTATGCAATCAAATTTTTCTAATACAATAACACTCAAGAAAATGTAAATTTTTAGAACACCAGACACCATCTGTCTAAGTTATGGGCGTTCCAATAAAAATCCGGTTTAGCCAAAATAAGCATGGGACTATTGGGCTGAAATACACTGCGCGACAACCGATTAGCACACCCTATGCTGCTCGTCTAAGAAACTTAATATAATGAAAACTAAAAAAGCTTTTCAAATAAATTTTTTTCCCCTAAAAGAATATATAATTTCACACGAAAATTAATAGAAGATAGGATACTAACTTTATTAATAACATTTTAAATTAATATAAACAAACATAACATACAAAATTCTCTATTATTTTTGCGACAGCCGATTAGCACAGTCACTTGAAAACTTAAAATAACATAAGAAAATGGGTTCAAACTTCATTCAAATTATTTTTTAATATTAATTTAAATATTTTTAACTTTTTTGAAAACAAATTAATAATGTGTTCAGCCTCCACGGTTAAGTATGACTTCGTACATTCGCTGAGGTAAGGAGTCATAAATATTTTTTTATATAATTGAGTGAAACAGCCTCCCAGGACCTTTCCTTCAATGAGTTCTGCTTCAGTTGAATACTGCCCGCCGGACTCGTACACCTTTCGTGCCAGCCATCCCCAAACATTTTCTGTAATGTTTAGGTAGGTAGAGTATGGCGGCCAAGTCAGTAATTCCACGTTTTGACCATCAATCCAGGACTTTACAATCCTGGCTGTGTGGATAGGTGCGTTGTCCTGCTGGAACTTCCATTTCAAGGGTACAAAAATATCCTTGATTGCCGGGAAAGCCGTATTCAGTACACCTTGTACGGCTGGTAAGAAAGTGCAGTTCTATAGTGCCAAAGTATGTTAAAGCTCCCCACACCATGACACCACCCGCACGGCTGTGCAACCGATCTACAGTATGCTCTTCCTTTCTGAGATCATGAAAGTAGTAGGCATAGCCGTCAGGACTCTCCAAATTTTTTCATCTGAAAAGACTACACGCTCCCACTCCTTAGTCCAGGTCATATTTGATCGACAGAAATTGAGTTGTTGCATCTTTCTAAGTTGGTTTAGACGTGTTTTTTTTTTAATTTTAGATGCTTCATATCATCAGCGTTCGAAATAACTCTTTGCACAGTCCGAACGTATGCTTTAACACCAGTTTTTTCCTTTATTTTGGCGGCTGAGTCGTGGAAATTAGATGCGTGTCGTAGTATGATTCGATTGTCAGCTGCTGTTATTACTGATGATGGCCTTTCATGTTTTTCCCATATGTATCCTCATTGCTTAAATATGCGGTAATACCTTTATGGCTGCGCTTAATATTTTTGGATATTTGAAGAATAGAGTGCCCGAACTCCCTGTAAACCTTTATTTTGCCTTTTTCAGACTCGTCCAACGGTTTTCCTTTGCCCATTATTACTTTATTTTATTGATAATTAGTCCCAATAAATAAATAAAAAACTTAAACACCCAATCAAGGCAGCTTACACACAAAAAGTGACATGAAAACGAAAATGTGCTAATCGGCTGTCGCAAAAAACATGCATGCATTTTCGTCGCACTTCAAAGAAAAAAGTAAAGCAAAATAACGGTATACTTCCAGAGCTCACAGTTATACTTAGAATGAGCGAAAATGATACAGAATAAAAGGAAAAATAGAATGCGCATGAAACATATTCAGAGTAGGGAGTTATTTTCCTTTAAACTGATAGGTTAGAGAGTGTGCTAATCGGTTGCCGCGCAGTGTACATAAAAATTATGATGGCTTTGGATTTACAAACATTTGTTATATACAGAAGCATCAAATTTTCGTTATTTTACACCGAACAGATAAGAAGCTCTGATCTATCCGGTCGAAAAACACATCAGCAGCTAAGTGATACCTGGTCTACAAACACTTTTATTTTTAATATTTGTTAAGCGAACAGTTCAAATTATTTAGAGATTTTATTAGGCTTAGCTGACCTGCTTTAGTAAGTGCAAATAAAATTTTTCTCAGGGTCTCCTTTTTATTTAGATTGAATAAGAAAAAATACATTTTAGTATATGCATACATACAAACTGAATAGTAACAAAATTTTTTCATATATCAATGAGCTTGAAATTATTTAAAAAAGCAATGTCATTCCCTTATTCATAACTAACCGCTATTAACATTAGTCATGAATTTTGATGTTGTCACTTTTAGCAAATATACCAACAATACTAGCAACAAAAATAATTATGAAAACTGGAACCAAAACTAAAAAAAAATTCAGCTAATCCTTGATTTTTGCCTCAAAAATAACTACTGCATGATTAACAGCAAGTTTTATGATAAAAAAATTTGGAATCCCAATGGGAAACTACCAACTTTCACCAACAATGGCTGACTTATAATGGATGATCTTCTGAAGAACACGATTGCAGATCTAAAAATTCACCACAATATTGACTTTAAATTGATAACCAAATACGTAGATTAAAATTTTTTTATTATTAAATACAATGACACATACTGTTTTTGTGACTCCTCAGCAAGTATCATAAAAAACTCCAGTTCACGATGGAAGTGGAAAAATATACTATTGCATTTCTCGAAAAAAAAAAATACATACAACAAAATTATGCTTGACTGTTACTCCAAACATACATCTTCTACACGCCTTATAAATTTCTTCCCAACTAATATACAAAATCAGTACAGCGAAAAATGTAATATACAAAATATTGACTATAAGCCACCAAAAATTTCATGATGTCCCTGAAACCAA